GCTGGGTGCAGGGCTTGGAGCTGTGGGCAGCCTGCTCCTTGCCTACCCAGGCAGCTGAGAGGGGTAACCGCTCACCTGGCTGCCTCTGCTGGGGACAGGGAATAGGCTCCAACTGTGGGTGAACAAAAGCATATGAGGAGTGTATTGGTACAACTGAGTCATTTCAGAGACTCAGCTCAGGGAGTGAGGAAAGCAGGTTTTAATTTTCAGCATTGCCAAGCACATGGATTGCCATTTCAGTGGTGCTTGTGCATCGCTTACTGACCCCAGGATCAAGTTCAACAGCTCCAAAAACACAGGTCATACCTGATCCCAGGTGAAGACTCAGCAATGATGAATAAATATGACCAAAGTGTGGTGCTAAACTATGGGATTTGAAGTCACAATCCACGAAAGTGCTTAGGAGTAGCTGCCTTTGATGAGGCACCCTGGAGCCAGAGGCTTCTGCAGGCAGCAATTCACAAAGCAGTGGCTGCTTAGGGACAAAACTGATTTAAAGTAAAGTCAAAACCAAACACGCAAAACCCAAGTTACTGAATTGATAAAGCACATAAATCAGTCTCTAGTGCTCATTGGTACAGATCAATAATCCACCTACAGAAAAGGCGAGGTGCTGTACAAGAGCCACCTTCCCACCAGGAATAGTCTGGGATATAAAGTGATGACCCAGATGGCCTTGGGACCATCCTGGACCCAAACAAAACCAAACTCTCTATCAGGATTCACACCACCAGCTAGAACAAGAACACAGAATCACTGCTGAACTTCATTTTCTTGACTCAACAGCTATTTTTGTGGGATTGCTTATGCTGGTTTCCCAGTGCCACAGCCCAGTTCCCACATTGCAATAAGCGGCCACGTGTCAAAGGGTGCAAACAGAGAGCAGAGGGTTTGTCAGCCTTATTCTTGGTTTTAACCTGGAGGAAACTGGCTGTTCCCCAACCCTTTGCCCCTGGATGCAAAGGTCTACCCTGTACTCTACCATAAGCTTCTTTTGGGGCTGACTCAGAGGAGATTGCTATTACAGCCTGAGCAGTATTTTAGGGTTCCAGTGATACCACTGTCCCTCTTTGAACACACAAGATGACCCAAGGCTCCAGTCAAAGAGAAGAAAAACACAGGTACTCACTCTCTCCCCGGGGTCACCCATTAAGCCCACAGGTCCAGTTGGTCCTGGAGGTCCTGGAAGGCCCTAGTATAGGGGAAAAAAAAAACCACAACAAACAAAAAAACAGAAAAAATAAGCCACTAAAGGAAAATGTATTATTATTTGTAACATATTTGTACAATGAGCAGGAAAAGAATTAGAGCTTTCTGTTTATTTTTGCACCAGAAAATCAACCCCGAAGGGCTCTGTACACATGTGGCATATGGAAGCAATAGAGCCTGGGAACAGCTGTGTGCTGAGCCCTCCACATGCACCCAGCACCCTGGAGCCACGCACATCCCTTGGTGTAAGGTGCAAAAGGTCACTTACTGCTGGGCCTTCGGGTCCAGGTGGGCCTTCCACCAACATACCCTAAACAAGAGGAAGGAAAAAAAAGTGATTAGCAAGGCACATCCTCAAAGTCACTCTGACTGGAAAACCCAACCTCTGTTCTTAAGTATTTCAGGTCTTGCTGTGAGGTCTAGGTACCTCAAAAATGAAAGGTTTCCACTCTCTCTGGATGACATCTCCTATGTCCCCAATGTCAGAGCCACAAAAGGCTCTGCCCGTTGAAAAGCCAAATACCATCTATCTGAGTCACGCAGGGCACAGCAAAACAGCCCTCCCCCCCCCACACCAATCCCCCCCCCTCACCCCAGCACAGGGTCATCTTCCCAACCATAACCCTTATCCCATAGCTCATGGCCAGGCAAACAGCAAACCCTGGGGCATATCCAGTCTTGATGGTGCTGTAGTGGGAAAAGAGCTCCTCTTCAGGAAGAAGCTGTTTCAAGACCCAAACAGCTTAAAAAAAAAAGTTAATAATCAAATTGCAAGGGTTTTTAAAATTACTTTCCTAGCAGACTGCATGCTGTGATTTACTCTGTGTACCTAGGAAATCACTGTGTGGGCAAAATGGTAGGAATAATGTTATTCCATTCCTTTTAATCTAAGTATTTTGTCATAACTTTAAACAGGTTGATCATACGCTCAGTAGAATTGAACTTTTTTTTTTCTTCCTTCTCTTCGCTCATGGAAAAGAGGCAGGAAAGAAAACTCCCAATAAGCCTGGCAAATGCTTTCCAGAAGGCATCAGAACCATCTGTTGGGAAGAGCCCCACAGTGAGCACTACCCTTTTATCCTCTAGACCAGTGACCATGCCCCCAGCAGCACCCAGATCAAGCCAAAGCAATCCCAGTGCTTCCCAGCTCATCTGTAGCAGACAGGGACATTTCTCTTATAGGATTAAATCAGCCTGTAAAAATCTGATAAGCAGTTGGCTCATATGGGAGAAGCCCAGAGGAAGCAAGTGCTGGGACTGGTCTGGGGTCACCCTTGACCACTCTCCTGGGCTCAGGCTCCAATGCCAAGAGCCTCAGGTGACCCCACAGCTGCCACTACAGCAGACAGGGTTGAGCTGAACGAATCTGAAATGTCTAGAGGAAAATCCAGGCATTCCTACCCTAAAAGCCACAGTGTCTAAGCCCAGAGGAGCAAAAAAATAGGATAAAAGATGCTGCCATGAATCATCCCTGCTTCCATTAGTGGGATGAATGTTTCTGCACCACTAATGCATGGCCAGAGCTATTTTCTGTCTTTCCCAGTGTCCATACTACTCATTACCACCTCATTTAAAACATGGCTTCCGCTTTATTTGGATGTGTTCAGGGAAATTTTCTGCTGCTCTCATCACAGAAGTGCCTGTGCAGTTGTTCTTCACCAGTATGGAATTTAGGTCATGGATTTTGCCCCATGCCCATTTTGACAGCAGTTTCACTGTAGAGCCACTGTTCTCTTCTGGGTGGGAACTAGGGGTGAACTGTACGTGACATTTCTCCAACCTGTGCTAAGTAGGAGCAATTTGCTTTTGGAGGCTACGAAGAAGGGGTGAGTGATGCTGATGGAGAAGGTGTCCCTCCAGGACATGCACTAAACACTGTCTCCTTTTCAGACACTTGATGAGGACATCACATAGGAAACCCCGTAAGTCTCAGCAAACATTTCCCCACATGGACATCACAAGGTCTATCCCTGTCAAGACTATGGCAGGTTTTGGTGTAGCAGGCTCCAAAATAGAAACTAATTCTTGTCTCTGGGCTGGTGCAGAGATCCACAGCCCACGTAGGTGTCTCCCCAGGACCTTTTTGGGCTGCTGGGTGCCAGTACTGCCATGGTATGAGCATGCACATCACTGAGGCTCTGCTTCCCTGGGGCAGCTGCAGAGCCTCAGGATGCTCCTCTGCATGGGGGAAGTGTCTGGGCTAATTAGCTAATTTGTGATGCAAACATCCTTGGCATCTTCCCATATTTATCTGTTGGTTTATGTTGAGCTCTCGCTTTAGGGACATCTGGACATTCTCTCAGTAAGAACCCTCCACTGTTTATATGACTGCTGATCAACAGGAGCGATGGAAACATGGGACTGTTTTGGGACCAGGATCAGCAGGGGGATGCCTCCAAGGGCAACTGCCTTGGGGGTGGCAAGCAAACCATGGATTTGGGACTGTCCCAGGGGAAAACAGGGTGTTGCTTCCACTCAATCAACACCCAGGTGTTCCCCACGAGTGAAGATCATATCACAGAAACAGCCCAAAAGCTGGCTGTACCGCAGAAACGCTGATCAAACCCTCCTCGAAGGCAGGCTTGATCATCATGAAGGACAGAGGGCTTTGAGGAAGCAAAGGCAGGCTGGTGCCTCCAGAGCTGGGATGTGGAGGTCCCCACCATCCCCATCTGCATCCCTCCTCACCCCGCACCTGTACTGCCCCGCTGCCTCCAGTGAGCGTCAGCACAGAGCAAGGATTGAAGGACAGCAGCTTTGAACGAAAAAGAGAAAATCCAGCAGAATCCAACTGCTGCATTCAGGTTTTTATTCCCCCTCTGCTGCAGCTCCCATTAAAAAAAAAAAGCTAAAGAGCACAGCAAATCTGAATTTCTCTCCACTGAAGAACTACACGGAGAAGAAGAAAACGGCATTTGGTCTTGTTTACTTTCTGGCAAAAGCTATACATGCTCCAGTGTTTTGAAATAGCGAAAGCAGCCAAATTCTTTCTGGATGATTAAACTTAACTATTTTGTTCACTTTGCAGCATTTCAGATTGGTTCTGGACATGGCAGGCTGGGCTTCTGCCATCATTTTTGTGGGGTTCAGCTGCCCCTCACCCTTCCCACAGCTCCAATAAGAAAATCTCTTGCTCTTCTTTTTGTTTGCAGGGTGAGAGCAAGACCCAGAAAGGAAGAGAAGGAAGGAAAGGTTGAAATGCTTTTATAAGGCCCTGCTGCAGCACCCCAGCTTCTTCCTGCCTCCTCCCCTTGCTATCTGCAAAAGTACCAGGCTAAGAAAGAAAGGGAAAAAGAACTAAAATAAAAATAACAGCCTCTGAGTGATGGGAAGTGCTGCCGCGCCGCTGGGCGCCGCTGCACTGGCCCTCTGCCAAGGAAAATTAGGTTAATTGAGTTGCTGGTGTGCGGCGAGCGTGCGCTTGGCCCTTCGGGGACAAGACTCGGGGGAGGTGGTTGCAAGGACCTGAACCACCATTTCCAGCCCCATGAGGAGCAGGCATGGGGGTACATCAGCATTCTGACACACAACAAGAGACAGACACACGGCCATCAACCAATGGGCACCTCTGAGCAAACACCAGCTGTCCCCATGGTGAGGACAGCCAAGGAGCGGCTCCATCCTCAGCTAAGGGGTGCTCAATTGGGCACCCACGTTTTTTTGGCAGACTGCAAAAGGCACAAGCAGTTTATAAATGTTTTTTTAGAAAGAAAAACAACCACAGAAACAGGACAGGACAGAATCATAAAGAAAAACAGTGCTGGGTTCCATTCCTAGGATAACAGAGGGTTTCTCTGAAAGCAGGAAGCTGGTGGGACCCTGGAGCAGGTGCTGGAGCAAACCTCTCCTGCAGCTGGGAGCAGGGAGAACCCTTTTATTTCACACAGAGATGAACCCACTAGCTGCACAATTAAAGCCGGGCCCAAGCTGCAAGTTCAGGTAGGATATGATCCAGCCATTGGCTGAGGGCACTCTGGGGAGTGGGTTTGCTGCTGAGCCGGGGGCACTTCAAAACCCCCCAAGAGGTGAGACTTGTCCTCTGCATGATGCTTCAGTTCTAAAAGACCTAAGTTTTATTTTGGCCAATGAGAGATTTCATGGGAAATTCTGCACTTCCTTCATAATTTAGGTCATTTCTTGAAGTTAAAAAAAAAAACAAAAACAAAAACGAAAAAACCCCAAAACCACCAAACCAAAAAAACCCACCTTACAGTTTTTATATTAAAAGTTTTTAAATGAACCAAATAATTCCTCCTTGGGAAATTTTCCTCCCAGCTGTACCACTGAGAGCACCAGCCATACCAAACACACCCCTTTGTTCTTTTTGGCTTGGGTGGGGGGAAACCCATCAAAAAAACAGATAGTCCTTACCGGCTCAATAATCGCAGGCTCCCCTTTCTGTCCTTTCTCACCCCGTGGGCCACCAATCTGTAGAACACAAGGGGAACATAAATCCAGACAGTTACAGAGGACATCACCAGCATTACCACTCTGAGCAGGAACTGGAGATCTGGCAAAACTTCTGCAACCAAAGGAGTTGCTGATGTTCGTGTAGAAAAGAAATGGGGCACCTCCACCTCGCCTTGTGCAACACAGATGCATTGCGGGTGGATGAACCCAAGCGAGATGCTCTTGCTGGTTTTTTACGTTGTTAACCTCTCTGCTATAAATTACAAAAAACCAAACATTTTGAACTAGGCTTATCCTCAATGGAAAATTAACTCTCTTACCCCTTCATAGATGGTGTCCTGGTTAGCAGGCATGCCAGGGCCAATATCGGGAGAGACCGTTCGGTCATAATAGTTATCATAATAATTGCCATCGTATTCTTTTATTGTTTCCTCGGTGAAATCTTTATCCAGGTCATCTCCTCCTTGAGCAGCCTAGAAACAAAAGAGCGATGACACATGTCAGGCTGAAAATCTCTCTAGGCTGCACACGCTGGAAATCTAAGGGGAAGTGTTTGTTGCAAAGAGAAGATGCTTTATAATAACAGTTGCAAATAAAAAGCATAAGCAAAGTTAAATTCTAGGTTTTAAGGTCTTCAGTGACCTCCAAGGGTCTTCTCCAACATCAGGCAAAAAGGATAAGAGGATCTTTATGTCAAAGCATACACCCTGGCTTTTCCCAGGATTTCTCTGTCAACCCTTGAAATAACCCTGCGAGTATAGAAGTCTGAGTGAGGAAAACAAAACACAGCACAAGGCAACATCTCATGCCAGGAAGATCCTGCAAACACTGACGGTCAAAAGAAACGGGGAATAGAAGTTTCAAACTCCAAGCCCTACTCATCTCTCATAGCCTCAGTACTGGAGACTCTGGATTATTAAGTGTAAAAATTCACACATCCAGTCACATACTTGAAATGCACATCAAAAACACAATGTGTCACTATGAATATCTGATTACAGGAGGAAATGTGGAAAAATCCAAGTTCGCTTCTACAAAAATCTCTTGTTTGTTTAGTCTGGGATCCAAGTTGCAATTGTGCTTGTCCAAAGAGCAGAAGCAGAAATTTTTACAAATCTGCTGCATTAATCCCTGAATCCTTTCTGAATCCTTACAGCAACAGATGTTAGGGACCACAAGCCAAGACATCTAGACAAGTATCAGAATTTCCTTGCTTCTCTCCATACCCCTGTGCTTTCTGCAGCCTGGCAGGCATCTGTCTCTCGGCATCCTTTAGTCTGAACAGCACGATAAAGAAGAATATGTGCTGATCATATTTTTGTTTGTTTCCCATCCGGATAATGACCAAAATGGTCCATGAACTCAATTATTTCCAGCACTTCCCAGAGAAATTATGTCCTCACTACTATGAATTAAAAATCATTTAAATGCCACCACCACTTGCAGACTTTGTTTCTGTGACAAAACTGCTCAGAAGCCACAAGTGTGAGCATTTGTATCTAAATGTAAAAAAAGAACAAGCTTAGTGCTAAGGCAATCATCTCTCTGCCACTCTATCTTAGAATCATAAAGGTTGGAAAAGATCTCTAAGATCATGAAGTCCAACTGTCAACCCAACACCACCATGCCCACTAAACCATGTCCCTAAGTACCACATCTACTTGGTTTTTTAAATACCTCTGGGGATGGTGACTTTTACTTCTGCAAAGACTACTTGATATTTGCAGAAATTACAGTTTGGCAATTACTTGATTAGAAAACTTGGAAAAGTGAGCATTATTTTTCCTTTGTACCAGTCAAATGGATCTAGTGCTATCACGTCTTTTATCCTGCTCAAAACCTTCCATCTAGGTTTGCATTCTGAAACCTTAAAACCTGTTTCTCTCGCTATAAGGCTTTTGTGGATAACATAACAAGCATTATTCAAATTGCATTTCTTGACATTTATGTCAAAAATGTCTAGTTTCATATTTTGATTAAGGGTCCCAAGTCAATTTGCATGGAAATATGATATTTTGAATAACTGGGCAGAGAAGGAAGAAAGTTCTCCATGCTGAGATTTACTGGTGCTTTGGAGAAAAATCAAAACAAAAGCCTAAAATTAATCTCCTTAACAATGCTGTTAGATAACCTGAATCAGGAAACAGTCCACAAAGAAAATAGGAGGTCCAAAAAACAAAACAAAAAAAACCCCCAGTATGCAAAAAAAAACTGGTAACAGCTTCATTTAAGTCACCTTTTAGTCTTCCATTTAGAGAAAGCGAAGCAGATATGAAGCCCTGGTATATGTATCTGGACAAGGAAAGCAAACTGCCTGCTGAATAGCAGTCGATGAACAAAATATAATCTGTCCTCAGTTTCTCTTGTTCATGGGAGTATTGCTGCCTGCTGAATCTCAGAATTGCTTCACTGGCATTTATCACACAGTTATTAGCCTTCATGAAACCCAAGCCCAGGAGAGTTCTGTGACTATGCCTGCTTCCAAAACCTCTCATACAGGATCCATAAAGTTTCAGTTGTGTAAAACTAAATTATGTTTAATTCCCATTGTAGGAATTAAGTCTTTCCAAAACACAGGCAAGTGAACTTCAACAGTGATGGACACATCCCAATCTTGCAACAGGCCTGGGAAGGGATGATAAAAATGACCATTCTGCACCAGACCAACATTATCCCATTTGATCCCATGACCTACAGTGAGCAGTGCCAGGGCTGGCACTGCCAGCAGCTCAGGGGACACTCAGTGTCCCAGCCCACATCTGCATCCCTGTGCAACAGTGGAGGGGCTCTGGTTGCCAGCAGAAACCTGGGATTACTTGAAACTACACCACACTTACTCATGACCCTGAGTATTTTTTCTAACCTAGCAAAAAAATTTACCAGATTTTTTTATATTTTATTTTTAAGAACAAATAAACTTCTACAACCACTTTAGCAGTCTATATCCCGTTTCTAATAACGGACATTAGGCAATTACATGCACAAAAAAATGATCATCACTTCAATATTGCTCAAAGCAGATTGGTCTGCTGCTGGATTACAGAATCACAGAATGGTAGAGGTTGGAAAGGACCTCTGAAGATCACCTAGTCCAACCCCCTTGACAAAGCAGGTTCACCTAGAGCAAGTTGCACAGGACTGCATCATTTTATAGGTGCTAAATGTCAACAACGCTTTCTGTTCTGTGGCTCTGCATCATCAGATTGAGGCTGAAGAACACGATGCCTGCAGGAGTGGTTGGAGCACGGCCAGGGGATTAAAGGATTTCATTTCCCCAGGAGTTTGTGGCTGCAGGCAGGGTCCTCAGCTCCCACTCTGAAGTATAAACCTGAAATCCATATCCTCTTGGGTATTTATCCCTCAGGCTGGCACTTTTTTTTTTTTTTTGAGTCTTCACCCCATCACACTGCATTAGCCTTCGCCTCTGTGCACAGGAATCTCCTTCAGCCAGGTGAGTTGTGTCCTTTTCTCTGCTCAACAAACAGCTTAAAGATTCACTGGAGCAGCCTCCCACCCCAGGAGCAGTCCTACAGCCCTCCCCATCCAAACACTGTTTCCTCTGGAGCTGCTGGAGGAGACAGTTTGCCCTCTCCCCTCCACAAGATGCTTTGCTGAGAGCAGGGTGGGCTTTTATGTCAGAAAGCTTCACCATGTGTTTCCCCACCTGAACTTTCCTCCTCTTCTATTTCTGTTTCCTAACAACTCAAGTGGCCCTTGAGCCTCTTATTTCCTTTTCCAATTTTTTTTTTTTTTTTAAGGTCATGCTATCCAATCTTTAATTCCTCCCTATTAGAAAATTCAAGCTTGGCCAAAGATTTCTGGCTCTTTGTCAGGAAACAGAAAAGTTTCCCATCCATGGGTTCCCTCAGGTTGGCGCTTACTTCCTCAATACGCTGGAGCCTTTTCTGCTTCTCTCTGTGTAGCATTTTGGGCTGCTCAGCCTCCTCCTCCACCACATTTTTTATCCCTACTTGGCTGGACTCAATCCTTACCACCAGCCCTCGGGGCAGTTGGCTCCCCTCCTGCCTTGCTCCAGCTGCTCAGCTTTTTGCTTGGACACTTTCCCCGACACCTTTTCATTCAAGCTTCCAGGTCCAACTCCAAACACTCTGGCCAGCTTTTGCTGTCTCCTTTGACACCCTTCAGCACCTCCCAGAAAGCCTTGAGTTTTGACAGTCCCATAACTAAGTGATTCTCCTCCATTCTAGGAGGAACCACAAAACTCTGCCAAGTCCCATCCTACCTCCCAGGAAATGTTATCCCACTATTGACTGCCCTTGTTGATACTCCTGGATAACAAAGAATTTGCCTCATCTGAAGTAGCTATTTCCTTGCACAGTGAGCTATATAGCAGGCAGCTGCACAACAATTTATCTCGGTCTCATCTAAGGATGGGACCGACATTCATCTCTGAGCACCAATATAAAAGGCAAGAACTGTGCAAGTCTTAAGGACAGAAGAGTCTTAAGTGTAACATATTTGAATTGAAGCATATTAAAGTGGGGGTAACAAAATGTAATCGCTTCAACAGAAGTGTTAGCTGTGGGATCTGGACTGATCTCATCTCCAAGCAGGTCTGTGCACAAAATGGAAGGGTTCTCTCTGGGTGAATACAATAGTTTGAAATCAAGGCTTTGTCCCAGTGTTAAAGCTTTTTTTTTTTTTTAATTACAATCTGAAAAACAAAGATGCTATTCAGAAGGAATGAATATTTATGTCCTCCACCAAATCAACATTTTAAGGATTTATATTAACAGCTTTGAAATAAAAGCTTTTACTTAGATTTTAACACCAACCCTCATTTTTGCTTTTTGTCAGATGAGTACTTTACTCAGGGAAATGTAGATGTCAATATGAACAGATTTTTCCATGGGAACAATCCCCAGCCAAATTCTAAATATCTGTATTCCACACTGAAATATCAGGAGTCAAAATATTGTACAAAGAACTTCCTTTTCCAACAGCTGCTCAAACCTCTTACAGATTTACCATATGGATGATCACACACCTCCTTTGCTCTCAGGGCTATGAAACACCAGAATTAATAAAAAAACAAAGTGAAATGAAAAAACAATCATTAAAATTACATCAGTCTCGTTGTATGTGATGACGGTACTCGTGGGGAGTTCAGCTTCCACTGCATTTTCAGTGAGTCCACCCTGGGGGTCTACTTCTTCGTTGTAGTTGACATCTTCGTAGGGGAGAGGTGTGAAGTACTCTTCATTAATGGTTTCATAGTTGTACTCATCCACAAGGGGATCATCCACCGCAGCATCCCCTTTTGTCTGCTTGCTGGGGTCCCCTCCATCAGGTGATGGCGTGGGGGCAGGATAGTCCTATTACAGAAATAAAACACCAGAATCGGAGAAATAAAAAGAACGTTCTGCATCACCCTCCACCTCCCCCTCTACAAAGATGCCATTTATCAACTGCATCTTTGCCAGGACCCTGTGTTGGTACCTGTTTGGTTTCAGGTCTCTCTCCAGCAGCCACTTCGGGAGCATTGGGTTTGGCGGTGGGGGCTTCTGGCTTTACAGCTTCATCAACATCTTCATAGTAGGGGTACTCATAGTAGTAGGTGTCACCTTCTCCCTCCCCATCAGTGTACTGCAAAGAGATGAGAAGCAGAAAATAAACTGGCAGCACCCAAGCACCTGCCTGCCACCTCTCTTAGATGTTATTTCACATCAACAGGGCCATGCCGTGATGCAGATCCATGCAATGAAATCTTTCTCTTCCTCTTGTTCATTAGCTTCTGTGACACCTTCACCAAGAGCCTGGCTTCAGGCTGCTTTAGCAATGGCTGTGAATTGAGGAGGTTCCCCAATCATCTCTTGGCCCTGTGGCATGTTCTCCCTTACCAGAGAAGATGGACTTACCCTGCAGCAATTCAGTCACCCACAATAACAGAATAAAAAACACCTGAATCCCACAGCCACTCTGAGAAGCAGGGATGCTCTTGTCACTCATCCAGCTGCAATAATAGCATCCATGTGACTCCCCATCCACCCACAGCCCACTGGCAGAAGGGCTTCAAAACCAAGATATTTTCAGTGTTCTCCACAAGGCGTCAGTCATTCTTCAAAATGAAATAAAAACAAAACATTTGGTTACAGCTGGGCATGGCAAATTTCTTCACCAGTCCATCGCTCACTGGCAGCAGATGCCGGCGTGTGGAAGAGTTATTCTTGCACAGAGTAACACAGCCCTAAGACAAGCCAGCCCTTGTTGAACTGTTGACTCCAAAAGAGTTTTATTTTTCTACTACCACCTATTTTGGCTGTACCAAAGTCTATTTTATTTTACTTATTTATTGTTTTCCCAGAAATGCTGGCAGAGCAGTTACAGCACTTCCCCAGGACTGGGCAGCCGTGCCTCGCCTGTGAGCATCGCTCTGCTCCCCAAAGCCCTGCTAGGCACAGGTTTTTCATTCTCTCCCAAAGCTAAGCTGGAGCAGATCAATGGCATTACAGCATCACAGGGATTCAGCAGG